TGTAAAAAGACAGTATAAGTCATTATAATCCATAATTATGTCCCCACTGGATGCAACGAATGCCTCGTTTATAATGGGTTTTCATGTTTTTGATTCATCGCTCCGGCCTGACAGGGCATCATCACAGTATGGTAGGGGCGTAACATTTCCGTCACACGCTTGAGGTATTCGGTCAATCATTACGTACTGGCTACACGTTTCAGAAAGGCGGGGCATAGAGAAGAAACAATAATGTACAGTATGTGGAAAATAATGGTTGTTTTTTAACCTTAAACCGCATAAACATTTCATTACAACAAATACACAAAAGAATGTTCTTTTTAGCAACATCATATGAACCCCTTTAAAATGCAACAACGTCACTTACATCACTGCATCTCGCGTGCCACTGATGACGCTCCCTGATGCACACCTAACATTCAAATGCAAATGTTTATTTTAAATTCGACTAATATTCATTCTTTATTCACAATCTCCTCATCACAGGCAGGCACAGCACTCATTTCAGTACGTGTTCGTGTTCGTGTTTGTGTGTGCTGTCTGCGCCACTCATAGCACATGCCTATATCGTGTGCTATATCGAAAAAAATGTTATATCGATATCGAAGAAGGTGTACCGTCGATAAATATCGATACCGTTTTATCACCCAGGCCTACCGTAAAGTATATGCAGACTAATTGAAGTTGCACTGAGGAACAGTTTGAGGTCACCTTGGGCTTGCCTTCATTGTCTTTACATCATGAATGTATGCGCAAGGTCTAGACAATGTCTCCATTGTGTTTACCCATTGTAGGCCCAGTGTTCATTTGCTTGCCACGTTTGTCGCAGAGCCCACAGTGTGAGGATCAGAGTATGAATTAGATGGTGTTTGCATATTCAATGAGTCTGACGGACTATTGCCTGAGTGCTCTTCAGACACATCTCTCCTCCTCGTAGGTCATCCTGAGTTTTCAGATGAGACATTAAAGGTGACATATCATGAAAATCTGACTTTTCCAGGTTTTAAGTGCTATAATCAGATCCCCGGTGCATCGACCAACCAAGGAAACGTGAAAAAGTTCGTTTTGGTAAGCTTTTTTCTGCAAGCAACTTTTTTCTGAATTCGCTCCCTTGGTGACGTGGCAAAAGGGATCTCATTATAATATTACCGCCCCTTAATCTGTAAGTTTCCACCCATGGCACCATCATTTTGATTTCGCAAGAGACAACGGTATAATGCCATGGCGAAAGTTTGAGCAAAACACGTTAACTGTTCTGTCTTTGGCTGCACAGACGAGCACAGAACACTATTTAGAGTCCCAGCTAGGTCTGCACGATAAATCGCATGCGATATTTAACGCGCATCTTATCAGTAGAGCCGGTTCTGTAATCAGCGGTAAATCTCCATCACCTGCGGGCTTTCACATTGAACAGCATTAACTGCACAGAGCCGTTGTTCACAGGCAAGCTGCGCAAAACCACGTTCATATTCGCGCGATTTTTTGCGCAGCTCGTCAGTGAACAACGGCTCTGTGTAGTTAATGCTGCTCAATGTGAAAGCCCGCAGGTGATGGAGATTTACCGCTGATTACAGAACCGGCTTTCTGACAAGATGCGCATTAAATATCGCATGCGATTTATCGTGCAGCCCTAGTCCCAGCCTCAGAGGAGACAAGAGAGCAGTGGTTTTATTGATTTATTTAATGTATATTGCTGCTGCCACACAGTTCTAAAATAAATATGCGATTTATTTCCCAACTGTTTACCTTCACAGACATAACCGACTGTTTTTTGTTTTTAACGTAAACTTGTGTGTGAATGAGAACTTACTTTAGTACTCACTTGCGGTGACCGCCGCTTTCTGTCCATGTGCTTCGGTTGTGTGTGCTCAGAAAACCGTATATCAGAAGTTTAGACTAACGTGGTTTAAAACGCATGATTTCAGCGCAAAAAACATTATAACCAAAACAATGTTTTTTAGCAGGTACGAGATGCGGGGAGCAGCAGCTCATTTGCATTTAAAGAAATAGGCCCGAAAAACAGTGTTTCTGCTTCCATTCAAAATAGGCATTTTCAAAATGATATAATAAATGATCTGTGGAGTATTTTGAGCTGAAACTTCACAGACACATTCTGGGGACACCAGAGACTTATATTACATATTGTAAAAAGGGGCATAATATGTCTCCTTTAAGAAAGGATGAAAAAAAAGAAATTAATTTCACACAAACTTCTTTAAAGCTGCAGTCCGTAACTTTTTTTTTTTGGTTAAAAATGATCCGAAATCAATATTTGAGCAAGTACATAACCAGACAGTGTTCAAAACTATCACCTTACTTTAGCCCGATTCACAACGGTAAGTTTGTAACTCTATTTGTGGCGGCATATACTGTACATACACAGTAGAGATGCACCGATTGCAATTTTCTTGGCCGATTCCGATTTTTTGTTAGTGTGATCTGCCGATACCGATTTTTGCAGATTCCGATTTTCTTTCTAAGAACTATAATTGACAGCATATACAAACAAAAATCTACTTTTCTTCAACGCAAAGTTTTATTTTCGTAAAAAAACACAATTAAAATTCAGTAATAAAATAAGAACAAATAAAAAAATTGCAAACAACAGCACAAATAAATGCAGTAGAATAAAGAGAGCTATGAAACTAAGTTTTTCAGGTTAAGTAAGTTTTTATTCAGTTAAGAAATACTACAGAAACACATCCAGTGTTATGACATAATTTTTTTATGTATTTGAACGTTTTAGCGCAGTTAGCCACTCATTTTGGTATTTATGGCTCACAAGCTGTTTGAGACTGGGCGCGGATTGTGCGCTCCACTAATATAGATCAGTGGTGGTGCGCGTGGTATGAGCGCAAAACCTGCAGGAATGACTAAAATAATGCGCAATACAAGCAGTATTTAACCAAAGCAAATGAGACGTCCGTGTGAGAGAGAAGGGGTTGTTGGAGAGAAGAGAGCGAGAATGTGCGGCTGACGTTATTGCCTGTGTCGCTGGTAACAAAACGGATCGGCTCGAACTGACCGGCCGATCACCGATCCGGGCTGATCATGAGGAAAATCAGCCGATTCCGATCCCTGGCCAATTGATCGGTGCATCTCTAATACACAGTCTCTCTCTCTCTCTCTCTCTCTCTCTCTCCCTCTCTCCCTCTCTCCCTCTCTCCCTCTCTCTCTTTTTTTTTCCAGAAAGCCAGTGCTTTTATCCACAGTGGAGAGAGAGAGGGAGCACATGCACATTGTTACCAGCTTGACAAAAATAAGTAACACACTTAGCAGATATTTCCATATTGCGCAAATGTGAAGCTCTGTTTTGGGGATTACGTCTCTTTATCATGCATCCCCGGTTGTTTTCCTCTGCGGCCAGATTAAACCATGTTGTAGCCTATATATCAAACTCTATTCATTATTTTTTTTAAACCTTGCACTTATTCCACTCCGCTTTTAATGCTGTGTGTGTATTCAAAATAAGCACGGGTCAACTGCTGCACACGTGCTGCGATATCTATACAGAAACAGCTGTATCGATACCTGTATCGTCAAGTAGTATGGAATGATATATTGTCGTATGGATTAGGGATGCTCCGATCTGCCTTTTTTGCCTCTGATACCGATTCCGATACCTAGGGTTCGGTAGTGGTCGATACCGATTCCGATCCGATACCAGTGAAGTTTTTTTCCCTCATTTAAATAAATGTAGAATTTATACATGATGTGTGTGGAACTGATATATGCTGATTATATACTCTGTGTGTGGAACTGATAATCATTCTTTCACAATCTACTAGATACAGACTACTTCATATAAAGAAAAATAAAATAAACAAATATGAAAAAATATAGGCCTATGTATATTTCTAATCTATAAAGTTATTCTAGAAAAATCAGTGCACAATAATTTTAAAAATCCAAACATTTAGTGAAAAAACAATATTTTGTGTGAAACAAATAAAAGTGTTGCACTAAATATGGTAAAATATTACACATTGCTATTTGTATTATTATAAAATCCATTCATTAAAAACATTCATGAATGTATTTATATATAAGTATATACTATAAAATTAAAATACATTTATTTTAAATGTATAGCATATTTTTTAATAAGGCAACAACATATGATAGATATGATAGGACAAAACAAATACAGTGCAGCACGAACTGTTTTTATACAGTCAACTCTCAACGGATACCTTGGCAATTGAATCGCCATTGGCTAGTATATTTTTTTGTTTACTCACCAAGACTAACTCTGCAGCACATGCCAGCCTCTGTGCACAAAGCATCCCTCCAGAAAGCCTGATGTCTTATTCAAAGTCTCCCAGATTCACAGTGGACCACATGATCACAAACAAATCAAAACACATTCCTGATGAGCATAAACCAGTGGGCTTTAGCAGAAGTTAGAACTAGAGAGATGGCTTTTTCTCGACCAGTAAGATGTGCCAAGTGGTGCCCTCTCTTCAGCTGACAGTCTATCAGCAGCATCTTGATTTTCACCATACAGTCATCACATGCTCCTTTATCGCCAGAATAACAAACACCCTCTCTTTTTCTCTCTCTGACATTCTGTGTTGAGGGAGAGAACTGTTACAAAGGCACACGGACTTGTTGGTGACGCTTTTTTTTTTATATCCTTCCTTCCTTCCTCCTCTTCTGCCTGCCACAAGACTGCCGAAGAGCATTTGAAATGTTTATTGTTTTAAACAGAGATGGGAGTAGAACGAAATTGTTATTTTCTGTTATGGTGACTCCAACAGTATGTACATTACTCGCAAAGTAACATGTCATCCAGATGAGCAGTCAGAAGCAGAGTAGTTATTTATGCTAGAATTTCAAATCTGTTTCACAGGATCAAACATAAAAAAGTCAAAAAGTCTTTTTAAAATTAATTCTTAATGTCCTTCATTTCTCTTGTTGCCTCTTTCCTCTTTTTTTCCTGTTTAAATGGTAGTAGTGATACCCATTTTTATGTGCATTTTGTCTCATTGCATTTCTAGCTGCAGTTGCGCAGGCGCAGGCAGAGGAACGGCGCAACCAGGCAGGGAACAGCCCAACACCAGCAGCTCCAGCCAGCACAATGAAGAGCCAAACCAGGCCAGGTAACAAACGATGATCTCAGATCTCAGTCTGTCAGTCACTGCAGGGATTCACAAGGATCTTTTTTTTTCTGAATGCCCAATTGTGCAAGTAGTTCAGATTTTTACACTGAAACAAAAATAATTATTATAAATGAGTGTATTTTCATTTGTTTTAAGGCGGCTCTTTCATAGATTCAAAAGGTAAACAATTTTCATTAAAAAAAGCAGGTTTGCACTAAAACAATCCTTTCTTTCTTTTAGTTTTTTTGTTTTGTTTAGTTTAATTTTTCCTGCAGTCTTGCTTTGGTTAATTGAGTAACATGCCGTCACATGACCATTGCAGCACTTCCTGTAGCATATAATCACACACGCCCATGACTCAGTGTCAATACTGTATCAGGTGTGGTGAGCTCATAGCTGAATCTGTAACCTGAGCCTCATGTATGTCCATGCGAAAGGATTATCTGCGCAATGGATACTAGTCCAATCTGCCGAGAGCCTTTTCATAGCCCAGGAAGTGTTCAGATTTCAACTGATACACTGACGTTGTGTTCTGTGTTCTCAGTCATTGATGGGGCAGCCTTGAGGATAGACGACAAACTCAGAGTGGCCAAAGAAAGGAGAGAAGAGCAGGAAAAGCAACATGGTGACAAAGCAAAAAATTTCACACAACAGGTGTTGGCAACTTTAGATGTGCATGTGACCATTGTCTTGCAGAAGGATAATAATTGGCACACAGGTGATAAGAGCAAGAGAAATAACACATAAGTCAAAGAGAACAATAACACTGTGTTTACAAAACAGTGAGGCGGTCATTTGCATAATTTATTCACGCTGAGGTGGATGCTGGGAAACAAGAGTTCATTATCCATTGAAAATCATAGTATACACTGCATTAATTTTGTGTGGCGATGTGACGCAAAGTGATAAAAAATGAAAAGGGTCCTTCGTGTCAAAAAGTTTGCCAACCCCTGCACAGAGTTGGACATAATTCATTCTCTTACATTGTAACAAATCGTACAAACACACCTGCTAACACACCCTGTTTGGCCCATTCAGCGGCCCGTGAAACTCAGCTCCTGGAGCGAGAGCGCAAGACCCGGCTGCAAGTGGAGAGACAAATGGAGGAGAGACAGAAGAAGCTGGAAGAGCAGCGCAGGAAGGAGGAACAGAGGAGAGCTGCAGTGGAAGAGAAAAGGAAACAGAAATTAGAGGAAGAAAAGGTAAGCTGTTTTTTTTTCCTAGGGTCTTAGACCTTACCTTTTGTAAAACAATACACAAACAGAAGCAAACTACCATTCAAAAGGTTAACCTCCTGCTGCAATATTAAATTTCCTTTTTAAATATTAAAATGCCCTTTAGAGACCATTCCTAAAGGCTGTATAATCCTTTACACAGAGTATAATATTTTAAAGCCATGCATAATGTCAAGTCTGAACCTAAACCAGCCTGATTATACTGGACTCCCTTAAGCTTAGCTAGTTGTTTAGACAACCCACCAACCAGTCTATTTTGGGAAATGTGTGTTTTTGCACGTCCCTACAGTCATCCGGCCTCACTGGTCTCTTCACTGACTATTAGAGATAGGCTTAGGTCTGGGCGGTATGACAGTATATATCGTTAACTCTAAATAAAGTGTCTATCGTTAAAGATTTTCCTATATGATGTATTCCGCGGTCTGCAAATATATCTGCGTAACACAGTACTGCTTAAACGTTATACACCTTTTGAGTGATAAGGAAACATGCATGAATGAGAAAATAAAGAGAGGGACGCACTTGGTAGAGTTAAGTGCAATAAGCAGTGAAAAAAAACTCAATGCGATGCTCGCGCTGACTGACACACAGCCACTGAAAGCCCCTCCCTCGACAGCATGCGATCGCGAAAACATCTCTTTCGTGTTTTATTGTGCTTGAATGGTCAAATACGCACACAGTAACGCCATAATGGCCGTCGTGTGGAGTATTCAAGTAAACAGAGTCGGTTATATGCTAAATAAATGTAAAACAGTTGGATGAAAACTGGATGTGTTTCATTATATTGATATTCACTGTTTGATTGATACAGTGAAGACTATGCAGTGTTTTATTTATACACTTTATTCAATTTCTGTATTTTTTTCAAAATAATATATATTATATTATATTAATATATTATATATAATAATATGTTAAATAAACCTAGCCTACTGTAGCTGAATAAATTAAAAGTTTATTTCATATTTTTTGTTCTGTTGTGCTTGTAATTTGCTTCTTTTTCTTAATTTTAATAACAAAAAATAAATAAAAATAGCTATATCAAGGTACATATCGTTATCGTGAAATAAAATCTCATACCGTGAAATAAGATTTTGGTCATATTGCCCTGCTTCTTATTGGGGTTGTTCATTAACACCCTTTTATCCATAACATAATGAACAGGTGATTTTGTTAGTCTTACAGTCATGCAGCAGGAGTCGTGTGTCAGTACCTGACATGCAAAAGAGCCTAGAATCATGGACTTTGTTTTAGTATTGACACCCACACTTTTTCCACGGTCCACTGCTGCACAGCTCAGAGGTTGTATCATGGCTTTATTTGTCTAACAAAGTGTGTGTGTGTAGGAGCACTATGAGGCCGTGATGAGACGTACCCTGGAGCGCAGCCAGCGAGTAGAGCAGAGACAGAAGAGATGGTCCTGGGGTGGACTTTCAGACTCTGACAACAAAAATGGTATGAGTGCTTTTCCTAAATGCCAAAACATCAGAAGCACCTGATAATATATTCAACAGCTTTTCCTTATAAAACTTGAATAGCCTTCTTTCACTGATTGTCCCGTAGTTCGCCCAAGTGTGTTATGACTATGAATAATCATCTTCTTTTGACAATCCTGATTGCGGTGATTTGTTGTGTCGTTTGTGCACCACTATACTGTGATGACTCTAGACACCAGATATATGATTATCACACAGTTTCCTGAAACCCACATTTGCCATTGGTCAGCAAAACAGGTAGTCCTTCTCCAGTTAATCCTATGGTTGCTGATTTTTTTTTTTTATTGAGCCACAGTGTTTTGAACTGGGATAGCAGAAACTATTTCCCAAACATTCCAAAAATGACACACTTCACCTTTAACAAGTCATGTTTGTTTGTTGGTGGCTGTATACAACACCACTTAGGGATGGAAAACTAATGTTGTCAGCTGTGTTTTTCCACCTCTCTCACATTCTCCTTGGGGAGAGAGTTTCCAATAGCGACCTGTCTGTCCCTGTCCCTCCCACAGGACAGAGTGACAGTGGCTCCGCCTCCTCCCCGATTGCTATAGTAATCTCCCCTGCTTCTCCAGCCACCAAGCCACCCAGGAGTCAGATGTCACAAGGTGGTTTATAGTTTGCCTGCCCATGGCATGACTTGACACAAACTGCCCACTCCTCCTCTTCGCTCATATGTGCACTAATCTGACTGGGGCTGTACTGGCTGTTTCTTATTCACTCACTAAGTTGTTTATAATAATATATTTTCTTCACTTGCCAGGGATTGTAACAAAGAGCATGTTCTCTGAAGCACTTACTGGGGATGTCACTGAGTTTAATCAGATTTTCCCCCCACTTTTTATTCAGATTTAATGTATAATTTAATTCAGATTTAATTTAATTAGGGATGTCAATTTTCGATCATTTCCATGATCAATCGGCATTTGAATTAACGATCGATTAATCGTTAACTTTAATGCAGCAAAATTATGACCAGTACTTAATTTGATCATGCTGGATCCTGTTCCGGTTCCGCGAGCGCGTGTTTGACTAGATGTATTTGGAGGTTTATCACTCACGTCTCATTCGGCACAAATCCAAATGTTTCCATATTCGCAATGTATTTGAATGTTAAACTATTATTTATAATGTAAACTAGGCTTGTACTTTACACGCATTCGCATATAGACGGAAAAGATCATCCTCTTCACATGAGCAAAAAAGTCCTTGGCATAACAGCAGAGTGGACTGGTATACTACGGTCTATTTAAACTGACCAGTGAAACCTTTTATATGTTTGGTTGACTGTATTTTATTTTGATAATGAACAGACTGCGATGAAAGTTTGAATTGCTAGAATATGTGGGGTGTGTGCGCGCGAGGCGCCGGTGCGATCGAACAGCTGAAACATAAAAAAACTAAATTTTTGGAGTAAGATATAATCCGCAAAAGTGTTTACTTTTGTTTTTGCACACTCACAATAAAAACAAGATTTGTGCTTTTGCAAAATAAAGCAAACAAACAGAATGCTCGTTGTCATCCTTTCCTTTCCGTGAACTTGTTTATGGAGCGCTGTGCCACACTTCTGTTTTAAATCTGTTAGCTTAATTATTTCAGTCAGACATATTTTTCTTTTCTTTTCTTTTTTAATGAAAACAAATTATAGGGGTTTTTTTTGGCCTATTACTTACATAGGCTATACATTTTCCTTAAAGCATCCCATTTTGTCACAGGGCTTGAAAACTTGTGCCTAGGCAAGTTAGGTCCATGCAGAAACTTGTGAAAGATGCTCTTAGTTGTGGCATCACCGTTTAGTGACGTATTTGAAAAACTTATTTTCAGTGTCACAGCACCTTTTAATTGCTGTTTTGAATCCAGCAATTATTTATTTACAAATTATAAGCTCTGATTATGACAAGTGTGGTATAAAAGCTTTGTTTATTAGAGGAATATTTGGTTAGCTGGAAAATATTACATCGCGACCATGCTTTTGGATGCCGTTTGAGCCTACATTTATGCGGCTTTGTTCTTGGTCACGAATTTCCACAAATTCAATAATATTTAGGCATTGTTTCTTTTCCTAAATCCTCACCGTCTAACCCTCTAATTTCGCAGGTTTATTTTATTGTCATTCACTTTTTATCACTGTTTTCGCATCTCTTACTGTGGTAAACATGCGGAAGGGAAATTAAAGATTTCATGGCCATGAATTAAGAATTTGTTCGATGTATTAATTTGTTCCCTCATTTTAGTTAAATCATGGGTTATTTAAGGAACAAAATTAATGAAACATGGACAGTGGCCACAAATTAATAAGTCGTAGGAATGAATTAACAAGTTGTAGGAATGAATCCTTCCCCTGTAGTGTCCCACAGCCCTGCAACCTTCACCTAATTGTTTCAAATATGAAAGAATTATCTGGGGAAATGACTGTTACTACATTTCTATTGCATTCAATGTTGAAGAACTTTGTGTTGTTTCTATTTTAATGCACTTTTAAAATTTAAATCACATTAAAAGCTTAATTTGTAATTATGAGTGAATGATGATGCATTTATATACCGTCACTCACAGCCGCTCGCATGTGTTTTGCACATGAGCCGCACGCAGCCCAAAATTAAACCGCTTAAACGACCATCGATAGCTTTAATCGATTGCATCTCTTATCGACAATTAATCGATCATTGATTAATCGTTGACATCCCTACTTTAAATGTTTACTAACACTTTTATGCTTGACTTTTTAGACTGAGTTTACTTTAGTTGGAACTTCTGCACAATACTGATTATTTATCCTTTTATTAATATTAACTACTTAATATAAATTATAATTTTTATATATATAAATATATATATGTATGTATATGTGTGTTTAGTCTATATAAAAGTGTATATTTATTTATTCATTGATAATATTAAATATATTTTCTAAATAATTATGTGAATGTAACAGACATATAAAGCAGTCACGATTTCAGGTCTAGCTATTGAGTTTTTTTTTTTTTTTTTTATGTGTAGCTGTTACCTTGTCTTTAAAATGTAGATAAGCCAGCTTGTATTAGTGTAATTAACAATAGCTTAGCATGTGCAAACCCCTGTAACTCTTAATTCCACTCCCTGTCTTTCTCTGTGTGCATATTTACCCTCCCCTGTAGACAAGCGCTCTTCCTCTACTACAAACCTGAAACAGACTGACTCAGTCATCAGCAAACGTCTCTCCTCATCCTCAGCCACCCTCCTTAATTCTCCTGATAAAAGTAAGTGTCCTCCCTGCCCTCTCCTACCCTTTTCTTATCCAGAATGTACATCATACAGCATGAGTTCTTTTGATACATGAGCATGAGTACATACTTTTTAATGCTGGTCGTGTGATCCAAACAGAAGTCTGTCACAAGTCATGTCTCACTCAGGTGCCTCTCCCTGTGGTTTGCTTGATGAGCTTCGTTTTACGATGTTATTTAAATGCAAATTCAGCATTGTGTTTATTTGAATGGGCCGAAAGTGTTTTTGCCATCTTGGCAGCTTATGATTTTTGCAGACATGCCGTTTCTCTCCACAGTTTCCTCGTCCTCTAACAGGAGCAGACAGCCATGACTCAGCCAGTTTCACACTAGAGACTGTTTGTGTAGGAGTCTCCTCTTCATTTCCTTCTCTGCAGGCACATTTTAGTGTGGTGCCACAAAAGTTGAATATTTTAGATCACTTTTGTGTTGATGGGTTTTATCTTTGAAGTCTGTCTTCAGTCCCTAATGAGAGAAACCTATGTTTTCGATTCAGGAGTTGAGCTCTCTTTTGTCTCTCAGGTGCAAAGAGGAGAAGTTCGTCTTTGAACCGGTTGCCTAGCAATGTTCCTCAGGCCTCTAAAGAAGTGCATAAGCAGCCTCAGGTGGAAAAGACAGGTGCCAAACTGCCAGTACTACCCTTCTTTTGAAGGATTTGTTAAAAAATGTAAATTCTGTCTTTATTACATGCTCTATTGTCGTGTCCAACTTGAATGATTTTCTACTGTGAAACACAAAAGGAGATATTTTGAAGAATGCATTAGCGTTTTTCCCATTCATTTACAATGAATGTCAACTGGAGTTTTCAAACAAAAGCTCCATGAAAGTATGTGTATTTTGTGTTCCAAAGAAGTCATATAGGTTTGGAGCAGTGAGTAAAATGATGACAGAATTTTTATTTTTGAATGAACTATCCCTTTGACATTGTTTCGCACACTTAAAGGGGTCATGAACTGCCTTTTTTATTATTTTGTACTGTTCTCTGAGATCCACTTATTATGTTATCAAGATTTTTACATTAAAAAACATAATTTAGAAGTAATAGGCTATTTTCTGTCCTGTTTTGACCCCCTTCATCAGAACGCTCTGTTTAAATAGGCGTGGTGGACTGTGGACTCAGAGGTAAACACCCATTGCTCTGATTGGCTAACAGTTGTGTATGTTTGACATCCTACACAGATGGACGCTGCTGTGATTTAGGTTAAAAACGCATAAATACTCAGTACATATCAAACGATCTGTAATAACAGACAAAGCAATAGTGACCACATAATAAAAACAGTTACTCACACTTGTGTGTTTCAACATTACTGTCGGATCCAGTATAGTCGGCACAGCATCGTCTTTTAGTTTCAGTCTTTCTGAAAATCCTGCTTCATCTGCGGTATGAAGTGAACATAGGACCAAGTTCCACTCCACTCTTTCCTAATGTTAAAGGCTGAGTTATACTTCTGCGTCGGACCTACGCCGTAGCGGTATGAAGTGAACATAGGACCAAGTTCCACTCCACTCTTTCCTAATGTTAAAGGCTGAGTTATACTTCTGCGTCGGACCTACGCAGTAGCTTACGCATAGACGCACACCCATATGCCGTAGCCTGACGTGCACCTCTGCAAAAATCTTTCTACGCGGACCGCAAGCGCTGTTATTGGTCTGCAAGAACCCCTCCCTCCATATGTACTTGAGTTATATGTGTGTTTATGTGCACTTTAATATATTTTAATGTTACACCTTCTTATATAAAATAAAACAGAGCAAAGAACAAGTGTCTTATCATTTATTATACTACAGAGCATTACACATCAGTAGTTGTCCGCAACAAACAATGTTGATCTGCCGTGGTACAAGTCCTTGTGTAGATTGAAAGAATGACATCATCTCCTGTTCCGTTGTTGTCTCCTTTTTGTAGTTTTAAATAATGATTTAATGATTTGATATTTATTTGCCGTGGTACTGCGGGTTACACCAGCAACATGCCCGTGGACACTGCTGACTAGCAGTTTGTATCTGTACTGCACGTTGACGTGGACAATGACGCAGAAGTATAAATGAAAACTGACGCATAGGCTATGGCGTAGAGGCTAAGGCGTAGGTCTGACGCAGAAGTATAAATCAGCCTTAAGATCAGAAGGAAGGCGATGCAATGACTGTTTTTTCACAACTTGGCTCTGTAAAGTGTCTTGGAGCCATCTTTATCGCTTGGTCTCTGCATAGACCTGTCTATCGTTATTTACACTATATGCAGTGGGCGGAGCTAAGCAGGCAGTGATGTAGAAGCAGTCGTTGATCACCTTCTGCGGAGGCGGTGTTTAGCCACACTATATAGTCATAAAGTGGCACATTCCACAACTTGTCGTTTTGGCAGACTGGCTTCAATATAAGCTGTTTTTAGACTAATGAGAAAGTTTTGAGTTCTGAAACTCAAAAGATCAAGGGAATTTTGATTTCTCAGTTCATGGCCCCTTTAATACAGAGATTGAGAACAATGATGGAACAATCACAAGGTCTCATAAAATATTTTTATTAAGGGTTTGAGCCTTTATTTGCCTACTTTAGCAGTTTACTCAATGTCATTCTGAAAATCTAGTTTCAGTGTAAATAAGCATTTAAATGTATACAGGGAGCTTACACAGGCATTCGCAAGCATGCAACAAATGCAATTATATTATAATTCAACTGAAAACTATAAATACAACCACAATTATAAAGCAGAGTCTAGCTGCATTGTTATCATCAAAATATCCATTTCCTCATTCACTGCAAGTGGCACGCATAAGCTTAAGACACAGAAAAGGCCTTGCTTCCTGAATGATTCTAACACTGCCCTGTCCACTTTGTCTGTAGGCCCAATCCTGAAGAAGCGAAGCTCCTCCCTCTCTCGAGTAGGGGTTAAAACGCAGCCCGTCACCAAACCAGAGAAATCCACAGCAGATGAATCAGGTGCTTAAATCCCAACTGGGACATTTCGCCATGCCTGTTCGCCATTTACTAATAAATAAGCGCAAACTGCGTTCACGTCTATGGTCCGCTCTGCTTTTGTTTAATCCGCAGCCAACAGAACATTACATTGGTGTAATAAGGGATGTTGGGGGGGAGCATGGGGTTTACAGGGTTGGTTTGTGGTTATAAACGTGCAACGTCTTTTTTTGCCATGTCTTTCGACTCGTGCATCAGATCATCGTGCATTCAGAAACATAACAATCTGCTAAAATCTATGCTATTTTGTTCACATGTCGGTTGGTGTTTGCTGCTGCCTTGAGCTTCCAATTCGTCTTAACCTCTCCTTGTTGCTTCTTCGTTCTCTCAGGGACCGCAACTAACCTACTCACCAGAAATGGGCTCTTTGTGTATGCAAATACAATGTATTTTTGTTTGTGTGAACATTGTTGTTTTTCTTCCCAAATGACATGACCATAACCAAGGAGTTTGGCCCTGGTACCATGGCTGTTTTCAGTGTGCGAGTGTGTCTATTGTCATTCCAGGTTTAAATACGCAGAATGCTGAGTAGATTTACAGGAATGCTGTATTTATTTCTAGAAAGTTGTTTGCAGGACATCGTTAGATTCTTGGTTTATATGCTCACTCTTGAAAATTAAATGACCTCCTGAATTGTGTTTTAGAGTTTCCCCATCACAGTACACACTTGTTCAGATTGATACCACCATTATCTATGCTAAGAGCACTTCCTTATTATTGAACTCCCTTAACCACATCATCAAAAGCTTAACAGCCTCACCCCCTCTTCACAACTTGGACTGTATCAATACAGTGTCAAGGGGAAAAAGAAAATAAATGGATCATTCAAGAGACATTAAGTTTTTACTCTTTCATTTTTCAGTTTTTCCCCCACTGGATTTGTAACTCTGATTACAAACCGATCTCGTGACTACAAGAGCTTTTTCCCCCCATTAGCATGTCCTACTACAGATCCGGTTTTCCAGTGTACGATCTGTATCAAATGTATTCAGTTTCAGCAGAATCTTTTTATGTTTTCCCAACTACATTCTGCAAAACTGCAGTATAGACCAGACTGATGTCAAATGCAGACCTGTAATCTGTTTCTTAATTTAATACTAACATAAATTCGATCTATACCTCAAATTAAAAATGCTTGACTCTTGTCTGATGGATCTCAAAAAGCTCTTCCAGTTACTCTTTTAGTCCTGGCTTTATGTGTCCCTTTTGTTTTCACCTCCAATTCCACAGCCCTGGTTCTGCTCCCAATCACCTCCCTCTTATCTCACTAATATTCTTTTTGTCTCACCAGTATTGAGAGTCTCAATTGACATCCACTGTTTACATTTAAAGTACTTTTTTCTCTTTGTTTTTTGTGTTGGTTCTTGCATTTTAAATCACATTGGTGTCATTGCCCTCTCCTTCCTCTTGTGTTTATTCCTCAACCTATCTCTTTTCTTTTCCCTTTTGTCTGCTGTTTTTTGTGTCTGTACGGGCACACCGTGTCTATAGCTCGCCGCTTGTTGGCTGCCCCCGTGGATAGCAGTGTCCTCAGTCGGCTGCTCACACCCACCCAGGCCTCGCTAGCTAGAAGCAAGAGTGCCGCGGCCCTGTCCGCCGAAGGAGGCGACGCCCAAGGTAACACTAGAGAGAAAGGGAGGCACAGCTCGTACCAGAACCTTCCACTTGTGTGTAGATAAAAGGCTCTCTGCAGGGGTGCTTGGTTGGCGTGTTGTATTGGGCATGCTGGAGTCCTTTAATGTGGCTTGAATCACATTTATTGAGTTCTACATGCATTGAAACAAATTTAGCAATACTTGATTTTCAAGCTTAGCAGTCTTTTCTGGGGATGCACAGAAATTGTTTTGTCTTTGAACTTGTTCACCAGAATGACATTAATGTTTCATAACTGTTTTTAGCCAAAAGCAAAAATACCCTGGAAATTTTAACAGAAACTGTTACGTTAACCAAAGCAGAGTGTGCTTGAATTGTTCCAGGTTTAATTGCATTAAAATGTAAATATCATCTGATGATGATATCAGAAATGAGCTAGCATTTACAGTTCATGAGGCACGTGTACCTTCTCTGTGTGACTCACATGGAGAAATCCTGTGATGGAATGGACAAAGACGTCTGTACATGTGTACATAGATCAGTTTGCCGTATACAGAATCAAACTTTAGCCTACTTTCTCGTTTACCTTTAATGGAAAGCAACAAAAACCTGTGTAAAATGTAATTTGTGTATACATTACAGCATTATGTATACCATCTCAAGCATTTGATGCCTGAAGTCACTAGCAGAAATGTGGCCAAATCATTTTTCACCATCGCGCACAGTAATTTTTACATTTTAATTTCAGTGCATCACTAGTCTTTACCCTGCTGTCATTCTCTAAAATACACATGCACACACCAACATTTGCAAGGTGTTCCATGGCTATTGCTAAGGGATCTTTTGTAAGCTGATTAGCCGAGCAGTTCTGTGTCAGAGGGAATGAGTGGAGTGAATCTGCGCCCTGCTGTTGTTACTTCAATCCCAAGCTGATCCACACAGAGCAGCTCACGGCCCTGCAGACCAGCAGCGTCACCCTAAACATATCATCTTCAGTTTCCAAACCTACCAAACTCACTTAGGACTCCCAGCAACCTGTAAAGGCTGAAGTGCATACTGGATATGTAACTTGTTTGACAGGGTTTGATGTTGATGTGATGCTATCAGCATAACTGAGTCTGATAGTATCTGAACTGCCTTATTGGTTTCTTAAAATAGACAGAGATGATTATGAGTCATCAGCTTATGGATCTATTACATTTATAGGCTTTCCATGATGATAACAGTCATGGTTAATTATAGTGTGCTGAGATTAGCACAGAAATCCCACTGTCATAGCAGACCCAATCCTTAGGTCAGCTCTTACTGCTCACCTCACTTCACCTCCACCAACAGATACCGGGCTTCCCCTGATCGGTTACATTTCTATATAGCACAAAAGTGGCGACCACATTTTCATTGTCTTTGGTTCTAAAAGTATTTTTCCCATTCATTTTCTTCATAGGGATTTTTTTAAGCTCTATGCTATATTAAAGCTAAACTAAACCAACCAGCCTCAAGATGAAACACATTACAAACTTTGATTTGAAGCAAAGAAAATATTTGAAAACAAAAAAAAACAAAGGTCCGAGAAATCATCTGAAGGAATGATGGTTTAATATGAAATTATTCATCTATTGTCAGTAATTTATAAGTATAATGCTCTGGTGCTTTTGGTGCAGTTTACATTTCCACAGTAACAGTTGCTTCTCTGGTTGTTTGTTTATGGTTCAAGAGTTGTGTAGTAGTTCATTGCGAATTTAGCAGTTAAATAATAATAAAACAAAAAATGAATTCCTGTAATACTCTGCAGAAACCTACTATTGCTAATCCTTAAAGCTTCTTTATGGAGAAATGAATATGGATTTTACTTTGGGAAAACTGTAGAATGTGATTGTTTGCTTGTTTCTAATTTTGTTTATGCTGAAACCAGCCTGTTGTAGGCATTATGTCTACATGGGCAAATCACTAAAACTGCCTTTTGACGATCTTCGACAAATGGCAGACATTAATTTCCAGTGGAAAGTAGTATGGGAGCTGCGTGCAGAGTTCCTATTATGCAGAATTTTCTGATCCGGTTTAAGCTTCAGATACATTGAAATATTTGAACTTTTTGTGGGGGGAAAAAGAAGTGAAAATTACCATTAATTTTCCACTAAAACATTCTTTAAACACAAATTTCTGTAAAATGGGCGGTTATAAAAAACTATGTTTGAAGTAACTATTATGTTTTTTTGTGTTTGTGTGTGTGTGGATATATTCATACATTCAGTGGAGGGTAACGGCTGCTTCGCCACCAATTTGAAAGTTCTGTATGACTTTCACTAAATGCAATGAAATGCAACAATCGTATGCAAATGTCAGAAATATTGGAAAGGCAGTTTGAGTTGGCATGGAGTACATTTTATGCTGTTTGATGTCCCTGTTTTGGATATAAGGGTGGAATGATTGAGTGAATGTTCTTTAATTAGTGATATTGTTAATCTAACTAAAACTACATGCTAAGGTGCTTGCTTGGTGCCAATAAAGGTGTGCTTCAGCGTATTGGTGACCAGTATGTGTCGTCTATCCAGGATGCTGTCTGTCTCTCTGTCTCACACCCACCAACCCACCCATCAAACCCAATCTACCTGAGGCCATCATTGCTATCAGCAACAGTTCCCCATCAACCCGTATGACTGATCTAACATACACCAATGTTTTGTGCTTTTATCATCCCTTTCCCCTTCTCCCTTCCTCTTTATATCTCTCTCTTTCTGTCCCTTTCTCTACCTTTGCTTTGCTCACCCACTCGGCTGCTTGTGACGTCCCTCCCTGCTGTCCCTGGCTGTGCACCACTGACTGTGTCCTTTACCAGAGTCTCACCTGTGTCCTCGTTCAGCATCTGCCAGCCCCATGCAGCCCCCGGCCCATGGACCCCTACGCAGTCGCAGCAGCGATCGAAAAAAAGGCCCACCTACTTCTGTGTCTGCAGATGGCATTTCCAGTATGATGCAGGTGAGCAGATGCTGCATGTGAACTACTACTTTGAAATTTTAAAAAAAATTCCAGTCTTCGGTGTCACATGATCCTTCAGAAATCGTTCTATTGTGCTGATTTGGTGCTCAAGAAACAATTTATTATTATTATTATCAATGATGAAAACATTAAAATATTAAATATTTCTGTGGAAACACTGATACATTTTTTAGGGTTTATTTTATTTGAAATAGAATTCTTTGGTTGCGTTGTAAACGTCACTTTTGATCAATATAATGCATCCTTGCTAGGGGTTGAATGGATCGTAGTTGATCCGTACGGACCAGGCACCATGGTTAGGCATGCATGTGATCCGTGGATTAATTGCAAAATTTAATCATAATAGAGTGAAACTTTATAATTTGTACACACTCAAGTGATTTTAAACCATTCCAGCGCAAAAAGCGGTGAAAGAGAACTCGATTCAGTACTCATGCACTGTTTTCTATGTTATTGCTGTGGTATCGAAGAAGTGCTAAGCTATAGGTAATAAATGGAAAGCAAAGGTACATTAAAATATTTTTTTCTCACTGATCCGAAAAATTATCCAATCTGTGACTCAAAAACCGTAATATGATCTGAACCATGAGTTTTGTGATCCGTTGAACCACTAATCCTTGCTGAATGGATTATTCATTCATTTGGTTTTTAATGACCCCAAACTTTTGAACAGTAGTATACTTAATAATGCAAAAAATAAAAAATAAAGTAGGTTTTTACTAGAGTTTTCAGGAATTTTACCCAAAAAAACAATGTGTGCTGGGTTTTGTTTTCATATGTAAGGAACACCTATAGTAGAGCTGCTTGGTATATGTATTTAATTTAATTTCCAGAATATCTGCAATCTTATTACCAGGATAAGCTTAACGGAACTACAGTACCTGTGTATTATCTGTGTCTTCCTTTGTTGAAATGCCTTAAAACAATGCATACTCATTCAGACATTTGTATGTCCATATAATATGGTTTGCTTTGCAAAACAGCTTGGATTTATCCCTGACGTTAATCAGTGAGCTGTTCGTTCTGAATAACACTATCTGATCCAGGCTTAAGACCGCGCCAGCAGCAGCGTGTGCTGGAGAGACGGAACTGGGTTACATCAGTCACTTTTTGACTTGGTGCCGAACTGTTCATTTCAAACTACTGATTCCCTATGATCAAAGTCGGAATAAAAACCATAGAATGATGGCATTCAGACACATTTCAACAACACAGGAAATCAAGTGTGTAGCTAGAAGCACTTGCATTCACTTGCATTGAGTAGAATTTTTCATTCAGTACTGAAAAATAGTCCAGTCTTATTAAAATTATTAAATCTTATTTCACCCAATATTAGCATGTACTGTGTATTGTTTGTTTGAGCATTATGGTGTTAGCTTAGCAAAACATGGTATAGTTAAACTACAGTACCGTTCAAAACTTTGGGGCTGGTAAAATTTGTACAAATATTTTTTGAAAGAAATCTCTTAAAGGGGTCATATGACGTTGTTAAAAAGAACATTATGTTGTGTATTTGGTGTAATGCAATGTGTTTATGCGGTTTAAGGTAAATAAATAAATAAATACATATTTTCCACATAATGTACATTATTGTTTCTCCTCTATGCCCCGCCTTTCTGAAACGCGTCGATTTTTACAAGGCTCATCGGTCTGAAAAGCGAGGTGTGCTGTGATTGGCCAGCTATCCAGTGCATTGTGATTGGCCCAATACCTCAAGCATGTGAGGGAAATGTTACGCCCCTTACCATACTGTGATGCCGTGTCCCGGCGCGACAAGACAAAAACAATAAAACCCATTACAAACGAGGCATTTGTTGCATCCATTGAGGACATAATTACTGTTTATAATGACTTATACTATCTTTTTACGCGTTGCGTTGCGTATCGCGCTGCGTATGCATAAAACCATGTCTGCATTTGCGATCGGAGAAATGACAAACAACAAGCGCTACTCTACACTGCTCAACTCACGTTTGAATCATCAGTGGCAAATTCTTTAAATATAAAAACTTACTTACAGGCTGTGAGTCAGAAGCGCCAGACTGTCCTTGCAAAGTTGGAACTGCCCCACTTTATAGAAACAGACACCGGCATTGTAGGCTACTCTCACATCTGAATATTTGGGTTGAACTGTTCTGGAACAGTGTTGTAAATACAACTTAACCACTGATTTCTAGTTGTGTCCTCTTTTGGAAGACCAAACAAAGTAGTTTCGCTTTCACAACGAAACACACAGCTCCTCCACAACATGGCAGTGGCGGCTTTCTTTGTGTGAACATTTGGGCGGCGTTATACAAATCTTCCCACATCGTGGTTGCATCCAGTGGGGACATAATTATGGATTATAATGACTTATACTGTCATTCTACGTGTTGCGTTGCATCGCGCCGCATAAACATAAAACAATGTCTGCATTTGTGATCGGAGAAATGACAAACAACAAGCACTACTCTACACTGCCCAAAAAACTCGCTTTAAATATATAGAATATAAAAACTCTTTAAATATAAAAAACGTACTTACAGTCTCTGAGTCAGAACAGCCGGCATTGTAGTCTACCCTCCCAGGATCAGGAAACGGTCCTCCATAAAATGTGCTGCACACATCTAAATATTTGGGTTGAACTGTTCTGGAACAGTGTTGTAAATACAACTTAACCACTGATTTCTAGTTGTGTCCTCTTTTGGAAGACCAAACAAAGTAGTTTCGCTTTCACAACGAAACACACAGCTCCTCCACAACATGGCAGTGGCGGCTTTCTTTGTGTGAACATTTGGGCGGCGTTATACAAATCTTCCCACATCGTGACGTAGACATGTGGGGGCGTGCTAGAATGAGCCATTTTAGGTAGGCGTGGTTGACTCTTTAAGTTTTATAAAGAATATCTCTTTGGATTTGAGACTTAAGTCTTTGCAACTTTACATATCTTCTTTATGCACCAAGAGCTTGTAACACTCCAAAGAGAAAGGAAAATTTTAAATCGCATCATATGACCCCTTTAAGCTTAACAAGGCTGCATTTATTTGATGTAATAAAGTAAAAATATTGTGAAATGTTGCCCTTTAAAAATAACTTTCTGTTTTAATGCATCTTTGGATGTAATTTATTTCTGTGATGACAAAGCTGAACTTACAGTAGCCATTACCCCAGTCTTCAGCATCAGAAATCATTCTCGTGTGCTGATTTGGTGCTCGACAAACATTTATTATCAATGTTGAAAACAATTGTGCTGCTTAATATTTTTTGGAAACCTTGAGATTTTTTTGAAAGCACAGCATTTATTTGAAATTGGAATTGTTTGTTGTTATAATAAATTATTATATAATTGTAATTATTATAAATGTCTGTACTACAGTGTGCTACTCAGACCCCAAACAGCTATGATGAACGTCAGAGTTTTTAGTGGCATTCAAGCTCTTAACTTGCACAGACTTGTATAAAGCACTATATGAATAAAGGTGGCTTGACTTGATTTGACTTGACAGAATCTCAGACTTTACTTTTAACATAATCAGATCTAGAAATAATCAGATTTAGAAATGCCCACTTCAGTGATTCGTTCAGACACACGTTTAATTTGTAGCGCTGCCCTACATATAATGAATGCTAACCGAGCTTGAGTGTGTGTCCCAAAGAGAAAGCAAAGGAGAGCTTGCACTGTTTATCCACTGGAGGAATGTAAATTGTTTCCTTCTGATGGTCATACTGTACTCTCGATTCACTAGTGGCTTGACCTTACAGCTCTCTATATCTGATCTGCTTGATGGTCATTTGGAGAGATGCTTAGAGTTAGAGATGAAAACATGGTGTACTCTCTGCTAGCTTTTTTTTGTGATCATGTAAGGAGGGTTTCCAGTAAAAGTCTTTTTCAGATTGATGACAGCAGTAAAATCCCAGCTGCAATGGTGTGATATATACACTATGCTTTGATTATGCTGAACAGTGATTGATCACTACATAGCGATCAAAGTGCCTTTTAAATGTGAGCCTCTTCTGTTTGATCCAAAAGTCTGAGACAACATTGAAAATTTGGGATTCAGAATCGAATTTAAATCTTTAAAGTTAGGGTTTTGGTCATTGGTTCATAGTGTTTTTTTCTTTCTTTTTTGCATTTGTAAAAGCAGAAAGTTGAGAAGGAGAAACGCTTCATGTCACCAGTAGGAAAACGCCCTGCCTCGCCCTCTAGTCGTCATCGATCCCCGTCTCCTTCTCCCGCTGCTAACACCACTACAAGAGCGCCCTCACCTGGAGCAGCTAAGTAAGACCTGTGAGATTAGGTTTAGCCTGCAGTGGTTTCACTCTAAACTGATAGTTTGATTTTAAACCTTCACAATCTGCTGCTCAAATTGCATATCCCATTGTCTATAGTATGATTGTGTATAAGCCCATCTTTTTAACTTCTTTTCTATGTTTGTGTCCTTCAGGCAGAGTCCACATTTCCGCACTCCTTCCCCCAGTGGTTTGAAACAGCGGCCTCCATCCCCTCAGCCCTCTACCACATCCAAACCTCCACCCATCCAGAAACCTGCTCTCACCCCCACCGGCCCGCCCACCCTTCGCAAGAGGGACTCCAAGCCAAACGATATGTCTCCCATGATGCCTGTCACCCCACAGTCTCCAGAAACCAGCACGCCCAGCCCGGCATCCGCACCCAAGACCAAAGAGGGTGAGTGAACTCAAAAAAACTAATTATTGATGGTAATACCTGGGCATCTTAGAAAGTTGTGTACATTTCTATAGTCAATAGATTTTTAATTGACACAAATATTTAAGTAGTTTGAGAGTGTAGGAAGTCATTCCCAGTGCTTAATAGGAATGGGCAGGCACTACTGAGTTCTTTTAGCATGATTTGCTTATTTCAGTTCTATGATTGGTGGATATTTCTTTGCAGAGTCATGGGTAATGTAGTTTTCCCACCAGGAATTTCACTGTTAAACAGAATTATATTTTTAAAACTAGGTTGAAATAATGTGGTTTGACAGCTTTAATGAAAGCCTGTTCCGTTGATTAACAACATCATAGCTCACGTTAAGTTACTGTTAAAAATTTCCCACCAGGAATTTCACTGTTAAACAGAATTATATTTTTAAAACTAGGTTGAAATAATGTGGTTTGACAGCTTTTAAAATAATGTGGTTTGACAGCCTGTTCCGTTGATTAACAACATCATAGCTCACGTTAAGTTACTGTTAAAAATGTATTCCCCTATGAAGAAAATGAACAACGTTTTTATACTTCCAGAACCCAACTGTTGCACTCTATTACAGTGTCTGTGGCAGGTAGATTTTAAATTCTAACTGACATTGACATTTCTCTCAGGACAGGATCAAGGGGAAAAATTTCAATGATAAATTTAAAGTGAGAAGTTTTATCAGAAATTCTTTTAGAACATGAAGCATGACGGATTTCAGTACAGTACTGCATTTCAAACTCTACTTGATGTTCCTTTCAGCACATATAAGATTCTCTGCCAAGTGCTGCTGTCATGATGATGAAGCAGGTCATTTCTTTCCTCTAATATTTAATAGGAAATAATCTTTGAAAATGATTCAGCTTTTTACTGCTTCCTGCCTTGCCAAGTGTCTGGCCAAAACAAAGCCTTTGATCTATTACAGCAGCAAACCAGCACCGCTTGTGTAATGAACTGTCTTTAGATATCGTCTTAACAAGGTCAGATGCTTACTGAGTTTGTAAACGGTGCCATTCAGGTTTATCCTTGAGATGCAGAGCCCTCTGCTGAAAACATAAAGCTATTATGCTTTTACTTGGTGAAAGACACTTCCCTGTCTTTCAGTGCATTTTATTGTGTAATACTAAAGAAGAAAGTAATTAATTAACTATAAATAATGGCAAAGATTATATTAATATGCGTCATGTATATGTTTTCAGAATCCAGTTCCAAAGCAGGAATCGCAGGAACTAACTCCGCTGCAGAGGCTTCCAAGATGCTGGCGGAAAACCGGCGTCTGGCACGCGAGCAGAAAGAGAAAGAAGAGCAACTCCGCATACAGAAAGAAGAAGAGGAGAAGTGTGTTCATTTGATTAGCTTCAGCGTCAGGAACCTGCTTTGACAATTCACTGTGCATTCACAATACTAAGTCTTTCTGCTTTAACTACTTCTGAATATACTAGGCAAATTATTTAATATGCACCTATCTTAAACCTACAATTACTCCTTTAAAATCAGAACGAAAACACTGGCATTAGTTTGGAGTCATATTCATGTTGTCCTTGTTAGTAATAGCAGGTTTGTTATGCAGTCATTAAAGCTGAAGTTATCCTCAGCTTGTTGTGCTAAAACTACTTTTGAAGTGCCAAAGGCCCTGAGGTATCATGTCTCGACAGGCTGAGAAAAGAGGAGGAGAAGCGGCTGGCGGAGGAGGAGCGCTTGAGGCGTGCAGAGGAGGAGAAGAGGCTTGCGGAGGAGAGGAAGAGAGAAGAGGAGGTGCAGGCTCATGTAGCAGAGGAGGAGAGACAGCGAATGGAGCTGGAGGAGCAGCAAAGACAGACTGAGCTAGAGAAAGAGGTGAGTTGACAATGCACTTGCACAGAAACCCTGATAGAGCTACTCTGTTTAAATAATTGACTCCTTGCTCATTCAATGGCAGCGCGAGGAGGCTGAAGCAAAGGCCCAAGAGGAGGCAGAGAGGCAGCGTCAAGAGAGAGAACGCATTATGCAACAGAACCAACAGGAGCGCATTGAGAGAAAGAAGGTGAACGCCTTCACATGACACTGACATTTATACAATTTGCATTGAAGGTAGCAGCTGTAGTTTAAAGAATCATAGAATTTGCTTCAGTGTTCTGTCTCCATCTGCAGAGAATTGAAGAAATTATGAAGAGAACCAGAAAAACAGACCAAATCGATTTTAAGGCAAGCTTTAATTTTATAGCACGTCTTTTATTATATAGAATTAAGGCATGATATATCTGCTTGTTACGCGTCATTTCCACTCCCAGGCAGTTACTTAAGTTGTGTCTGTGTCTTCTCTCAGAGTAATGATGAGAGGGACATTCCTGATGAAAATGGAGAGGAGGCTGAGGACCAAATATACTGTGAAAATAAGGGTCCGTATCTTTATGCCAGAAATGGCAGAATATTACTTTGTTGGCAACAACAGTGAGTTTCTATGTAGCAGATGACTGATGTTTCACTGAAAAGCAAGTGACAAGTTATAGGAGAATTGCTGAAATGAAACTGAACACCTGTTTTACACAGTATTTACAAATAATTTACTAAGCAAATTTGAAAGGGCAGGCAATGCCAAAATCTCAAAATATCTCTAAATATTGATGAGATAATCTATCACTATATGTAACATATAGCTGCACAATACTGGAAAAACTTTTTGTGTGTGTGTGTCCTGACCCATTCAATGTGGCTATAAAATAATTATATTTTTTATTGTGGTTATTATTAAATAAAAGTATTAAACAAAATAAGAAATATTACTATTGTAATACTGTTGTGCTGTTAAAACAGAAAAATCAATTGTTATTTAAATTGTTAAGCCATGGAGCTGTTGTTTCAGCAGAAAACTGCAGGGAGCCCTTAAAGCTTCTGTTTTGCTGAACCAATTTATAAATGCTTCTTGTGACAAATCTGGTGAAATGAGTGGCACAGTGCATGTAGGGAATAAAGCAGCATTGAAGGCGTTAAAAACACTAGAACATGAGCTGCTTGCGTGTAAATGAACACAGTGCTGCACTTCACTCAGAACCTATAATTAGATCACAGCCTGTGCAGTTTGATAATCACACTAAGACATCACAATTTTATTTCAATTTACTGTGTATCCCTAATGTATGACTGAATAATTCATCTGTCTCATTAAAATTTAGAGAATCAGGCTGTTGAGTCAGAGCAGAATGCCATGAAGACAGAGCCATCAGACTCTCAGAAGCATCACTTACCTGTGGAGGAGCCAGTCAGCGAGCAAGAGGGGCCAGTTGATAGTATGAACACACAAACAGATGTGGACAATAAAGAGAACAGCAATGGACCCGGCACAGAGGATCCCTCAATGGACAGGTACAAAAATACTCTAGTTTCATCTGGGTTACACTAGTGGTTCATAAAACACATTTACATTTGTGCTTTAATCTCCAGCAGCCCCCCTCCCAAATCCTGTCTGATGGAGGGCTTGGAGTTTGTGAACGAGGACTCTAAAGTGAACATGGTGCCAGGGTTCAATGGTAAAGGAGGACCCTGGAGCTTTGAGGAGCTGATCGATCTGGGTGTTCATGCGAAGAGCAAACCCCTGATGGATGATGAGGGGCCTAGAGTGGCCTTTGAAGAGAAAACCAGCTCCATTCATCCAGCCCAGCCTATCGAAGCTCTGTCCGGTAAGGGCTTTTCATTCTATTAAGTTTACTAAATGGTATTGTATTAGTTTATATTGATTTGAACTCACAGAATTGACCTCATGCTTCTCTTGTTCTTTCAGAGATGTGAATGCGGAGGTCTGTGTTTAAGGCCTACTGATTAATGCACTCCATGAGTCACGTCCAGCTGAGCCTCAGTGTCAGCGCTCAGACTCGTCTTGACAGCCAGGGAAAGCGCACAGTGCCGCACAGCCTCTGCAGATAATAGATGGATAAAGCAAGAGAAAATAAAGACAAGTTGGAAGTAACGAGCTAAAGAAATGATTCAGGGAAAATGATAGATTCCTTCAGTGTGCTTGCTTCAGCTCTACATCTTTCTAATATTGACATCAGGATTTGTTTTTTCATATATTTCTTACATTTTGTGTTTCGTTTTTTTGTTGTTTTCATCTTTTAAATGTGGAGACAACTTATTTATTCATGTGGCTTCTTCACATTTAAACGGCTGCTGTCTTTTGACGGTTACAAATTCATTATAGCTTCAACTTAAGTATTTTGTTGAATAATCTGGTTGGTTGAGTCAATGTAAAGCTTTTTGAAAAAGGAAACTCTCACATATCTTCAGCTGACAGCTCAGCAATGTGACCCAAATGGGAACCTGTCGTTGAAACATGAGGTTAGACGGGCTGCTAGTGCGGCAACTCTCCAGTTCTAATGTGACCTCAGGATATTTTCCTCTAAGCTTCTGTTTCTCCTCTCCAAAGGCATAAACATCCCCACTGTAGTGTTTAACGCTATGTCCCTGTGCAACAACTGAAGCATTCCTACTGTGTAACACTTGTAGATCGCAAATCTCACTCAAAATGTTTCATTAAAACCGTTTATCAGACTAATTCTAATTAAAATTGAGTGCAAACATGTTAATACTGCCTTGAGCTCTTGAGATTGAAGGATGATGGAGCTCAATGCGGACTGAAATAACACTTGTTGCTTTGGTTTAATGAGGTTTTTATGTCGTTCATTCCTGTTTTGTAGTAAATACCTATATTGTTGATGTCCTGTTCTACTTGTACATAAATATGACTAGTTATCAAATATCTAATTTAAGTGACCCTCAATATGTCTGCATGAATCTATCTGCTACTATATTGCATAATATAACAGAATTACTGTAAGTCTTACTTGCACACTTTCCACATGTTTCTGTTCCCTGGAGTTTGAAGAAATGTGTTCCAGTGGCTAAACTTGAATGATTTAATGTTCTCCAATTCCCAAAGTCCCCTCAGGGTTATACTGTACTATCAGTTTTTTTGTGTATATACAGTTACTGTTAGTTCTCACATCCATTCCTGGCCTAAATAACCACACTAAATGTAGTCCTCTCTTTGAAAATGCACAAGTATATATATATATATATATATATATATTAAAAACTCTTCTAAGTATTATGTAAATCAGTATTAGGCTGTCTGGCTATACTTGTGGTTGGGAATAAGAACTAGGCAGTAGGTTAGTGTGCTGTATAGTGTGGTACAACACTGTACTGTAAGATGAAACAGGCCAGATGTAACTAACTGCACACAGCACCAGTGCACATTTATCTTTTTTGAACAGAGTGTGAAGTGATGTGAGTTGGGAAAAAGAAAGTGGACAGAGTATAAGCGAAGTCAAAAGGGCTTTTTGATTATGAAGCTGCTTTGAGGTTGAACAGGGATCCATTGAGCATGTTGCCTCTCACTGAGGTTGAGGAATGCAATTTAAATTTGCAGCTAGAGGATTCAGGGGAAGTTCAAATGATTTATGCACTAATGGTGAGGATTTGGCATTCGAGCATTTGCCTATTGATTTAAATGTCCAGAATGTTGTAATGAATGATTGGTCTCCATATGCTTGAAGAGTTCAGATGGCTTTGTGTACTGAAGTTGTGTAAAATGTTGTTTTCTTTGAAATATTATTTGCAGAGTAGTTTTACCAGTCAAATGCCAGAAACAGTTACGTTTGTGGTTAATCGGTAAGTACATTTCCTTATTTGTATAATTCCATCCGCGTTTAGGAATACTGTAGATCCCTCAATATGTATTTAATGTTCTTCTGTTATTTTATATGCAACCGCTTTCTGTGATTTTTTTTATTTTTTTTATCTTTTGTTGTATAATAGTCACTTTCCAGATTGCTTTTTGACTCGGGCTCTTAAGTCTCCAGGGGAAAGTTGTTTGCGGAGGTTAGAAGTGACCGGCACTTGGCATGAGACTTTTGTACATGGGTTTGAGATCGTTGCGATTTCCTCGGTTTTGGCCTTTTATACTCATAATACTTTGCATTTCCAAAATAGTTTCAGGTTGTGGTGTAGCTCAGTGGTTCCCAACCCTGGTCCTGGAGGCACCCCAACACTGCATGTTTTGCATGTCTCCTTAATCAAACACACCTGATTCAGATCATCAGCTCATTAGTAGACTCCAAGACAGGGCTGTCCAAACCCGGTCCTGGAGGGCCGGTGTCCAGCAGAGTTTAGCTCCAACTTGCCTCAACACACCTGACTGGAAGTTTCTATGCCTAGTAAGAGCTTGATTAGCTGCTTCAGGTGTGTTTATTTAGGGTTGAAGCTAAACTCTGCAGGACACCGGCCCTCCAGGACTGAGTTTGGACAGCCCTGCTCCAAGACCTGAAACTGGTGTCAGAGAAAGGAGACATGCAAAATGTGCAGTGTTGGGGTGCCTCCAGGACCAGGGTTAGGAACCACTGGTGTGGCTGATGCAGACCCAATCACTGAGGTTTGTATGTGTTAGTTGCGTTTGCTTTCGTAATACACTAGCACAGCCACTTTCAGACGAGTTTAGTCCAGTGCAGATGTTGTTTCCACTAACAGGACCTTTAAAGCCCTTTGCGCTTCATACATCAGAACTAAAACTCTTCTTTAATGTGAAGTACTCAATACAGGGGTAGAATAGGATGGTGCCTTAGATGCAGAATGGGTTTTATTTTCATATATTAATACCTTAACGTGTCACGTGAGCTTACCTCGGCCATGACAATCACTCTACTCGACCAGGGTCATGAATAGGATCTGCTTTTGTTAGAGCAGAAATAGACCTGACCACAAACTATATTTGTAAATATATCTAAAGTGTACTGGGAAAATATAAATTGTAAAAATAAAGTTTTGGAAGATAAAAGAAATGTTTAGAGTCATTTATTGTTTCATGCACAATGGTTTGAATCCGTTCATAAATTTTTTTGGGGGGGCTTTTTGTCTTTTTTAACACGACATGCATAATAGCAACATTTTAAAGGAATTATCTAGAAACAAACGCCATTTTTGTTTCCATGAAGCAAAATGAGTTTACTGAAATAATGCATTTTGCAATGCATGTTGTATTCCTATTGTAACATCACACAGTTTCACCATAGCTTTGCAACAGCTGAAGCTTAAAATGCATGGTTAGGTTTGTAAATCCAGCGATTGCATTTATGATTGCAGTAACATGTTTTGCATAAAAAAAGCCCTTCATATAGCACTCGTATGTTCCAAGAACTCAATCTTCCAGTGATTTATCAATGCAAACTCCCTCACCGGTTTTTCTTTACTTGAGCACTCGAAGCTTCGCTAACTATTTAATCATTTCTATCTTAATTGCTCATTAATCAGCCAAATCAGGCCCTCACAGCTTTTTGGCACAGTCAGAGCAGTAGATGTCATTTCCGTTGATGACAAAGCGCTTGTGGGCCATGGAGAGGGAGCATTTTTTGCAATTAAAGCAGTATTCATGCCAGGTTTTGTCCTCGTAGTTCACCACGTTGGTCCCTCTGCCAAAGCCTGGGACACAGAAGACAACGGTTAATTATGGATGTTTTTTATTATTATAAATGCAATTATTTGCTATGCTTTTTATTCCTTTAAAGGTGTGTAGTTAGAAGTGTTCTGTAATTGTAGGAAAAAAGAATGATCATTTAATACTGGCACAGATTATACCTGTAATGGGATTTTGACATCCAGAGCACTTCTTGGCCACATCAGCCTTATAGCAGTTCACACAGTAGAACTGATCTTCATGGGCCGTGAAACGAGCTCCAGCCAGAGGTTTCTTGCATGTGTTACACACAAAGCACTCAGAGTGCCAGGGCTGGTCCTGATAGGTGATTCCACCACTGCTAATGGCCTGATTATTAGGACAGATTAGACAAAAGTACAGAGGCTTTAAAACATGCCTGATAGGAAGAGATAGTTCTGGTCTTCTAATTTGTTTCAAGAGTCGTTCATTCAACCGAACCAAGACGAGCAACAGTTAACTCTGCAATGACTTCAGTTACTACAAAGCAACATAGAGTTCCATGTACACTAAAAAATATTTTTCAAAGTTGTAAATGAAAAGATAATATAAATATATTTTACAAGACTACTTTAATTTAACATGTTGCTTGCTGTTTCTTTGTAAACATTTGTGAAATTTACTACTAATATCTGAGTGAAAATTGTTTCAAATCAAATCCTACACCAATTTTTCAGTGCGCACTACTTGCGCAAACTAAAAGTTTGTGGTCAGTCAGATGTTTTTTATGCATTACACTGATCAAAAGATTTTTTAATTTTACAAAAGATTTTAAATAAATGTTCTTTTGAACTGTCTATTCATCAAGGAATCCGGGGGAAAAAATATGAAGCACAAGTTTCCAACATTGATAAAATTGTTTCATGAAATGTTTCTTTTAGCAAATCAGCATATTAGAATGATTTCTGAAGGATCATGTGACACTTGAAGACTGGAGTAATGATGCTGAAAAGCATTCAGCTTAAAAAACATCAAATAAATGCAGCCTTGATGAGCATAAGAGAAATTTCAAAAACATTCCAATCTTACCGACGCCAAAATTCGAAGTCATTTGTTTGCTAAATACCTGTATAATAGTGCTTCAAAATGAATCTGACTGTACATTATGCCTGACCTTTTTACTGCACTTTAATAACTGCAAACATCGAGTTCAGGTTGCGTTTCTGTTCCATCTATATGAAGTCTTTCGACAGTACAGTCCTTCGGTATACTGTTAACTGACCTCTTTGCAGCGGGCACAGTGCTTGGCAAACTTCTTCTCATGGCAGGCAGTGCAGTACATATCGTCACCCTTGGTCAGGAAGCTCTGGCTGCGGATTGGCTGCTTGCACTCAAAGCAGATGAAACACTCTTCATGCCAGACTTTATGCTTGTACTCCACATTCTTAGATCCTACAGAGAAACACAAAAACTTTGCTGTCAATTGCGACACTGCATGAGATATTCTGTGTCGAAAAAAGGTGTTTATGTGCCGTGACACCTGTACACACACCTGGCGTAATCACTTTGTAGCAGCCCTGACAGCGAGACGATCCGTCACGGTCTCCACACTTCCCACACATGATCTTGCCGTCGTCCTTGGCAGCGAAAGACTCATTGGCCAGCGGCTTGTAGCACTTGGCACAGCGGAAGCAGCCCTCGTGCCAGTGGCGGTTCTTATGGGTCAGCTCCTGGATAGAGAGCACTGTGAGCGCTGCACAATATAAAATACTCTTTAAAAGGACTTATTTCAGTCAACGCCCACCTTTGCATCAGCACCTATAGGCTTGCGACACTCAGCGCAAGTGTTGGCGCAGAGCTTGTCGAAGCAGCGCACGCACACAGGCTTGTCATCTTTCTTGGCATGCTTCTTGCCCTGCAGGTTCTCTCTGCAGTAGAAGCAGTCGAAACGCTCGGTCATGGTGGAGCTCAGATAGCTGCGGGGGCCTGCAAAGACAAAACAAGGGCAAAGTATAGAACTGACTGCCAAACCATTCGTTTATAGCATGTAACATTGATTTTTAAACTATTAAAACAGATTAGAATTGTCAAATTAAGACAATAGTATCAATGGTTCCACAAACAAAACCGAAGGATAAGAGGTAAGATATTTTGAACAATATGGAGGTTAAATAATCATTTATTCCCACTCAGCAGAAAATAAACAGAAAAAAAAATTTGCTAAAATGTGTTAAATTATATTTACATAATGTTTTTGTACAAATATATTATTGGCCGATTTTTAATATATAGAGGGGATGATTTATGAAGCAAAAACATATATTTATTTTGCCCTCCATATACTTATCCAAGAAAATACATTCACATCAGGTTTATTTTCTACAACGAGTGTGAACATAACATATTTGAATAAAAAATAAGGAACAATTTACAATGTAAAAAAAAAAAACAATATTACAATAAATTAAAAATGTTACATTTTTAAATCATTATAAATCCAGTCTTGATCCCTAGTACGCTATTTCATCCACATTTGTATTTAGCCTAAATGTAGGCCACTGTAAGATTGGAAATGTATGTTCTTGCCCCTGAAATACATTTTGCTATATTAAGGATGAAACTAAATATATTTTCAATTTGAGAAATATATGCCTCACTGTTTTATCACATATACTTAGCAACTATTTAAATATATATTTTGGCCAGAAAAAAATGCTGTATGGGTCTAATTCAGTCTATTGCTATTATGACCAGCATATATTTCAAATAATTATATTCAGATGCGTATTTTGTGATGTTTAGTGTTGGACATTGTTAGTAGATGAATTAAACTGCTGATCAAGAAGTGTGCTTTAAGAACGTTTATTTTCTGAAGGTGCAATGTAAAAATATTGCCAGGATTTTAACAAGAACACTAAAAGAATTTTTTTTTTTTTTAGTGCATATAACTACTTTTTTATTTGGAAACTGAAAAAAGAAACTAATAAAAGAAAACGTGTTGATTCAATGTGTTAATCTTGCGAGGAATTCCCCCCCTAAAAAACAGTTTTCCTTGTGTGTATGTGATTTGCAGCACTAAGGAACCTGAAGGGGATCCGGTGAACAGGGTTGCCAGATTTTCACAACAAAACCCGCCCAGTTGCTACTCAAAACTCGCATTCCGGGGGGTAAAATGCACGTTTTTTGGCAGGCTTCCCCTGGTAAAATTCGCATTCCAGGGGCTAAATATCGCTTCAACCTGTGGACATGAAAAACAACCTGCGGCAACAGTGTTAAAGTAGCCCAATTTGGCAACGCTGCGTGAAGTACAAATGCTAACGCTAGGTATTTATTTGTGCATTAAACTAGATATAAATGATGTGCTTGCATATATGTATTGTGAGCTTACAAAACGTATAATATGCAATTGTGAGATATTATGCAGTTGTGAGATGTTATACTTTATTTACATTTGGGGAAGTCCTGGCCTAATGGTTAGAGAGTCGGACTCGCAACCTTTGGGTTCGAGTCTCGTACCGGCAGGAATTGTAGGTGGGGGGAGTGAATGTGCAGCGCTCTCTTCCACCTTCAATACCACGACTGAGGTGCACTTGAGCAAGGCACCGAACCCCCAACTGCTCCCCGGGCGCCACAGCAAAAAATGGCTGC